CAAAGTTGGTAACTACCACACGTTTATGATACACCCCGTATATTGGAAAGTAATTTTAAAATGTGGACCTTTTAAACATGAAAAATTTTCGTAGGGCGTATTTTCTTGTAAAGTTCATATTTACTGAGATATCGCACTTTGACGCACTAATGAGCAACCCTGTATGTACATATATATAAATAATCTTTATTTCCTACAGAAAGAGGCCCAGTCGGTTTTTCTGCCCGAACTATAATATTAAAACGTTAATTGCTATTTGTGTCCATATTGAGTCTTTCCGGCGCGTGCCTGAGCCAATTTTGAATTTCAATTTCAATATCTTGCCTGGTTGCTATAAAAATCGGATTTTTTACCAAGCCATCTGTAATAAAAAGATATATTTAATCATTTATAAATCCAACTAAAAGTGTATTTTATCAATAAGTTTCTTGCAAATAAAAAGTTCCTGAAAATTGTTTTCCTTTTTTGCGCTTGAAACTATATAGGACGGCGACTTCAGTTTGGCGGAGTGCTCTGCTCACCGCCTCACCTTCGTGGCTCCCTCAATTGTATGATTCGGCAGTGGCGTCTCAAGCTTAACTAGCGCCCGGGGCACAATACCTTTTTAGCCTCCTCCCTCATTCGAATTAATTCGACCTAGCAATTTTTTATTTTGCGGACCATTCGGCGCCCTTTTGTGAGTAGCGCCCGGAGCACGATGCCCCCCCTTGCCCACCCCTCGCTACGCCACTGTCTGAAAGAGAAGGAAAAAATCTGGAATCGATCTCATTTAAATGCTCTTTAATTAATTATTAAAGCCAATCGCCGGTATGTTAAGTGTTTACTAGGGCCTTTTCAATTTCTTTAAAACATAATATTAAGGGATTACCGTATTAATCACAATTCGCAAGACTCTTGCAAAAGTCTCAGGTCAGGGTACTTACTGCTAAATGTTTCCTGTGAAAAGTCTGGAAACCCTCCATAATCTTACTATTTTTTACGTTTTGGTGAAACATCTCTTTCACATGGCATTGTTTCCCTGTGTCTTCTTGATAGGTCCAATAGTAGTAACAAATTAAAAATTCACATATAGCAGCTTGTAGAGAGCTAAAAGGACAAACAACGATAACAGCATAAATAATTATTTGTTCGTTGATGCGAATCCCACCTGAATAAAGATCTAAAGTGATTTCTACTTACTCAACAAAATATTCACAATCTAAGTCTTTGAAAGGTGATAAACACTGCACGAAAATACAGACATGGGCAGTCTTAATAAGCACACTTAAAACAAAAATTCAATTCAAACACGATGTTTATGCGTTTTATTGTTTTACCCCAAACTAACATAAACACA